GGGAGGAGGGGGAGAGAGTGGGGAGGGGGAGGAGGGAGGAGGAGGGAGGAGGAGGGAGCAAGTTTTTGGCAGTTCATTCTCCTTCAGATATTTTAAAATCTACTTCTGGATGATCAAACCAGAAAAAAAAATCACGTGTGAATTATATTATACTGATCCTTGGTAGAACTGCTTTTACTGAAGTCAGTCTTAGAATGATGCCACTGACTTACTTTAGAATACTACAAAACAGAGTGCTATAGGATCCTTTACACTGTTCCCTAGAATAAGTCAGTTACATTCACCAATCACATGCCAGTTGGCAAGTTCAGCAGGGACAATTTTTATTTCCAGTGCCCCTTGAAAATAAATATTTACTAATGGAACAAAAGTAAACACACAATGTTTATAAATGATTGCTTTGGGTGCATACAATAGTAATGTGGTAAACATTTTTTTTTTTAAATCCTACCTGTCCCAGAAATACAACCATTACGTGGAGACAGGTTATCATAAAGAAAAAATTAAACCGTCACATAAGAAATGTACATTATTAAGCCTGGTAACTTAAATAATTGATTATAATTACTTTAATAAAATATAAAATGTTATAGGTCACTTATAAACAAGGTAATCTAGCAGACCTAAATTAGAGCTACTGAAACTTTAAGTTATTTTGTTGACTTACGTTTCATGAGTGCCAAAAAAGAAGATAGGATACTTGTTTGCTGGAGGCTTCACAGCTCCCTCTGGGAGTTCATCAATCTATTAAAGATAAACTTAGTTATTAAATAGTTATCATAAACACAATATAAACATTTCTTTGATAATTTATTGCTAATTTTGGAATATAATTTATCAAAATCTCAAGTTTTTTTCTTAAGCTTTACAAAATGATTCTAAAGGTCATGGAAGTTAAAACAGTAAATTGATTATAGCCATTATGATAATTCATAGGCAGGAGCCAAAACTACTAAATTCCTTTGATCCAATAAAATTACTCCTGGGACTCTGTTCTAATGAAATAATCAAAAGTAACAACAAAGAAAAGAAAAGATGTACATAAGTGAATATGTATATATATTACATATACATGCTATGTTATGTGTGTATATATATGTGCATATATAAACTTACATGTTGCAAGACAGGAGAATTGTAGAAAATCAAACTGATGAAATATTATGTAATCATTAGAAGACAACATCTCTTGCCTAGACTACTATAAAGCCTCTCTTCTCACCCCTTTAAGTTAGAATTAGCTTTTAAAATGCACATATGACGTTACTTCCTTGCTTCAAGTCTTTCTATTGCTTTTTATTGCTTATAGCATTCCTAATTGTACATCTGAATTGCTTCTGGAGATTTTAAAAATAAAAAGTATGTTGGCCTTTCCCTAGACCTACCAGTTGAGGCTGAGAACCCTGCATAGGATAACTCTAAACTCCTTAGAATATCATATAGTTACACATACATTATTACTTAAAATGTTTCAAAAAATAGTCTTTGACCAGTCTAAACTCATATGGCTCTTTCTCCATGTCATGATTCAGCAATATGAAAATACATAGAACTGTTTATAAATATACAATTTCTTTCATAGCCTTCTCAGATAGTTGACCTTCTCATCTTTCAGACACACACTGTTCAATTATAAAAATGAGTATTTATTTACAAAAAATAATAAGTTACAAGAAATAGCCAGCATGTTTCTTTTTAGACCTCTTTAAAAAGGTGAGGCCCCAGGAATGTTTTTCAGTTTTAATATGACTTCCCCTTTCCATCTGAAATACTACAACTACCACCATTCACAGAGGTCCTGACCATGAAATTCTGAATGTAGGAGCATGTCTTATTAAAAATTCTATCCCTAGGCTGAGGATGTGACTCAAGGGATAATGCGCTTGCCTGGCATGCATAGGGCCCTGGGTTCAATCCTCAGCACCACATAAAAAAATAATAAAGATGCTGTGTCCACCGAAAACTGAAAAATAAATATTAAAAAATTCTCATCCTCTCTCCTTAAAAAAAATTTCTATCCCTAATCCTAGTGACTCAGGAGGCTGAGGCAGGAGGATTACAAGTTTGAGGCAAATTAGTGAGGCCCTAAACAACTTGGACCCTATCTCAAAAAAATAAAAGGGCTCAGTGATAAAGTGCCTCTTGATTCAACCTCTAGTACCCAAAATACAACACAAAAAAGCTAACTCTCTACTTCTATAGTTTAGATATGGTTTAAATGTGTTCCTCAAAACTTATGCACTGGAAGTTTGGTCTCCATGGTGATGATGTGAAGAGGTAGCAGGATCTTTAAGGGTGTGGGGGGGCTAGTGGGAGGTGGTTAGGTCATCAGAGGCATGCCTTTGGAAAGAACTAAGGTAGTTCTCATGGGGCTCATTAGTTCTTGAGAGATCAAATAGTTACATAAAAGCCAGAGCCTGAATTCCTCTCTGGTTCCATGTCTACCACGTAATCTCTTTTTACACATTACCACCATTTTGATACCATCTGTTATGAAGAGACGTAGCCAGAGCAGCCCTTGTGAGAACTGGAACCATGTTGTCTGGTCTCGAAAACTATGAGTTAAATAAACCTTCTTCCTTTACAAATTAGCCTCAGGTATTTCATTAGTCTTAGAAAACTGACTCATATACCTACAATCAAGCATAATTTCTGACACATAACATTGCTTTAAAAATTTCACTTATTTAAAAAAGCGATAGTATGGAAAAAGTTTTACAAATTAGCCTCAGGTATTTCATTAGTCTTAGAAAACTGACTCATATACCTACAATCAAGCATAATTTCTGACACATTAACATTGCTTTAAAAATTTCACTTATTTAAAAAAGTGATAGTATGGAAAAAGTTTTACGACACAATGTTAAAAAAATGAACACTTAATAATTTTATATACATATTTTTACAGGTAGAGACTGGACTGGAATATGAAAAATATAAACACAAGTGTGAGGTCAGGGTTATTAAGGTAGAACATTTTTCTCTCTTAAATTTCTTTTTTGTTGCCATAGTTATAATTTTGCAGCAAAACAAATTCTTTATATCAGAAGGTTACAATGACCATTCTGTCAATGCAAAATTGCTGGTGTTTCTTTCCTGTTGTTAATTAATAATACACTTTAAAGATAAAGATAGATCATTTCAGTAATTAAGATTTTTGATTCAAAATATTTCTGATAATTTAAATTGTGAGCAGAATATATGCTTCTGACTATGTTGTGACCAGTAACAAACTAGCAATCTCAGAACTAGCCAAAATATACTAACTAATTGTATTTGGGCTTTGGACAAGTGGCACAAGACTATAATTCCCAGGAAAAGATAAACTCCAAAGGGAAGACTCATAATTATCTCTATAATGTGGCATAGTGAGCTAGATTCTTTTCCTCCCACAATAGCTTTTTTAAATTTATTTTTATGTGTTGCTGAGAATCAAACCCAGTACCTCAAACATACTGGGCAAGCGCTCCACCACTGAGCCACACCCTGGCCACCAGGGAACTAGATTCTAAGCAGAATTGATAAGAGCTGAGGAAAGCAAAATCAGAGATTGGTGTAGCTGAACTGACTAGACTATACAGAATGGGCTCTGGAAAGGATGAAGTTGTGCAACTAGGCATCCCAGAAGTCTATGTGGAGAGTCCTTGTGAGTTTTTGACCAGAGACTGGTTAGATTTATGAAGACACATACCAAAGAATATTTGTCATGGAAATTAGAATAGAGGTATTATAAATCAATTAGTTCAGAGGACTTTGAAAGTCCAGCTATAGTGTAGAAATCATTTAATCATCTCTCTAAGACCTCAGGCCTCTAGCTGAGACACAAGTTAAGTTTGCCCTAAAAGTAAGGTATATATGGAGACCTACTCCACAGCTGTCTTAACAGTTTAATATGAGGCCTTGATGAGAGAGGCTGAGTTCCAACAAGTTATCTGAGCTTGGGAAATACCTTGGGCTTCCCACATATTCCTCTAAAGAAGTATAAAACCAATATGAGAGAGGTAACTTGAATCATGGTCTTTGACTGCCTGTGGGTTGTGATTGTTTTGATCTGGGAACTTTCTGTGCACAGGTGCAGGACAAGATTTCCCAGTTGCTATGGTGATGTCCTGCCTGAGGAAGTTCTGTGCAAAGCATGGAACTATAAGTCTTGGCCCTGAGTTCAGACTCCAGCTGCCAGGGATAGAGTGTAACTAGATAATTATAATTGTTTGCAAGTGCTTTGACCTCCAAGCCTGCCTGCTCTAAAGAAAATTTTCCACAGAAACCACTTTTGATGATAATGACCTATATAATAAACACGCTGAGCTAGCTCTGGGTCATTATTCCTCCATCAGAATATGGTGTCCCACCTGGTCCCAACTTTCTCTAAGTGTTTGTCTTTTTTATTTTTAGTTGGACCCAATACCCTTATTTTATTTATTTATTTTTATGTGGTACTGAGGATTGAACCTAGGACCTTGCACGTGCTAGGCAAGTGCTCTACTGATGAGCTATAATCTCAGCCCTAAGTGTTTGTCTTTCTTAATCTCCCATTGTCCCTCACCAGTCTAAGGTTTGGCTGCTCAGGTAATGGCAACCAAATTATCCAAATAATTGTTTGCAAATTACTACACTGAAGAAATTACTAGACTGAAGAAAAGAGGAAAATACAACCTATAAATAAGAGAATAAGAAGTCTATAGAAACTGATTCCCAAGATGTTACAGATGTTTTAGGAGATGAAGACTTGAAAACAGATCTATGTGAACTTAATGAGTGGACATACAGGAAACCTGAGCAGAAAAATAAAAATAAAAAGAACCACATGAAAAGTATAGAAATGAAAGTATAATAACTGAAATAAAAAATGCAGAGTAGGCTTGACAGCGGAAGAATGAGTCAGTGAATCTGAAGATAACAGAAATTATCCAATCTGAAGACCACAGAGTAAAAACATGAATAAAATTTAAAGAAAGCCTCAAGAACTTATTGGACATTATCAAATAATCTAATGTACATATTATAGGAGTTCCCAAAAGGGAATACAACGAGGCACAAAACATCTGAATAAATAATGGCCAGAAATCCACCAATTTTTTTTTGGTGGGGGCAGGATACTGAGGATTGAACCCAGGGGTGCTTAACCACTGAGCTACATCCCTGGTCCTTTAAATATTTTATTCAGAGACAGGGTCTCTCTGAATTGCTAAGTGCCTTGCTAAGTTGCTGAGCTGGCTTTGAACTCACAATCCTTCTGCCTCAGTCTCCCTAGATACTGTGATTACAGGCATGTGCCACAACACCTGCTAGAAATCCTCCAATTTTGATGAAAAACATTGACTTACACACCAAAGAAAATTTAGCAAATTTCAAGCAGAATAACTGCCAAGAAAACCATAACTAGGTGCATCATAATTAACCTACTGAAAACCAGAAAAAATAGAATTGTGAAAGTGGCTAGGGCAAAAAAAGAAACCAAGAAAAAAAAAGCAATGTTGAAAAAATTTCCAGATTCTTTATCAGAAATAGAGGAGACTAAAAGGAAATGACTATTTAAATTGTTGAAAGAAGGGCTGGGATTGTGGCTCAGTGGTAGAGAACTTGCCTACCACGCACAAGGCCCTGGGTTTGATCCTCAGCACCACATAAAAATAAATAAATAAAATAAAGGTATTGTAAAAAAATAAAAAATAAATTGTTGAAAGAAAAAAAATTATCTCACCCCCAAACTCTGTACCAATTACCTACATTTAAAAAAATGAATATGAGGTAATGGCATTTTCAGGTAAACAAAGGTTGAAAGAATTTGTTAGAAGCAGACCTAACACTCTTCAGATTAAAGGAAAAAGATACTATATGGAAATTTTGATCTACAGGACATAAAGAGAGAATCAGTAATAGTAAGTAGATAAAGATCAACTATTAGGCTTGGTCTTCACATTATTTCCTGAAAAGACAACTGACTGTTGAAAGTAAAAATAACAATAAGATAAAAGGATATATAGTATAGAGGATGAGAAGGTGAACAAATGAAATTATACTGTTGTAGGGTTCATGGCTGCCTTACTCCATTTGGGCTTCTAGAACATAATAACATGAATGGGGTAATTTATAATAATATTTAGTTTTTAAAAAATCATAATTCTGGAGGCCAGGAAGTCCAAGATTAGGAAGCCAGCATGTTGGGTTCTGGTGAAGGTCCTCTTCTGGGTTGCAGACTGCCAAATTTTTGTTGTGTCCTCACTTGGTAGAAGAGGCAAACAACCTCTTTCACATCTTTTCTAATCCCATATGTGAAGATCCATTTTCATGACTTAGTTACCTCCTAAAAGCCCCATTGCTTAATGTCATCACAATGGGGATCAGGGTTCAACACTGAATTTTGGGGTGATGACACACATTCAGATCATAGTCAATGGTGAACCTGGAAATGAGCAGTAGGAAGCAAAAGGGAAGTATACATAATTAGGTTTAAATTATAAAATGGAAAAATAGTCTCTAAATAGATAATGACATATTTAAGATACATATTGTTAACTCTTAAGCAATCACTAGAAAATAATAAAAAGAGTTATAGCAATATGTGTGAGATTTATTGAAGATACTGGTATTAAAACTCAACATAAATATTTGGTTCAGGATGGCTAAGCAAATCATTCTTAAAACTATTAAAGTCTGCTAGGGAGTGATATTGGCCAAATTATACTGTTACATTGCCTGCATGCATAAAAATGTAATAACAAATTCCATCATTATGTACAACTATTATGCACCAATAAAAATGTGTAAAGAAAAAAATGTTGAAGTCCTATATAAAACAATAACCAAAGATTATGTAACCCTTTCTCTAATAAGCTATTTTAAAGATTCATTAAGTTAGAGCAAAATCTCACCAATTTACAATTAAGAGAGGTTATAACCAATTATAATAAATACAAAGTATTATATGAAGAATTTAAAAAGCAACCAGTTGTACCACAGGCACTAAATATGTACATTTTCTATACATATCAAAATTAATGTGAGTTAAATAAAGTTTAAAAGTATTACTGAAAGGAGGTTTGGTTGCTTTCAAGTATTTGTTAAGAGGATGGTTGAATAAATGTAAAAGTAAAATGTTCATGTCTTATCCTCAAAATCTTCCCTTGACTTTGTCTTCGTATCAAACTATTCTCTTTTCATTATCCAAATTTCTTAAGCAAATAAGTGTACAGATATGATGGTTTCTACTTTACTACCCATTTTCTTCTCATCCATGACAATCTAACTCTATTACCACCACCATTATACTAAAGTAATTCTCTCAATAATATTCTCCTTCCCAGTCCCTACCTTCTTGCCCTCAACAGCCCTACTATGTTTTGGATGTGGCCAAAATTTAGGTGTTAATATAGGGATAATATTAAAGATATAGGGCCTCGAAGAGGTGATTAGGCCTTAAGAACTCCTTCTGAGTGTAGGGCAAGGTGTCTTTATAAAGGAGTTTGATGAAGAGAGTTGGTTCTCTTTTGCCCTATTATTCCTGCCATGAGAGGATGCAGGAGAAAGGCTCTCACTAGATGCTGGTGCCTTGATATTGGACTTCCCAGCCTCCTAAACTATGAGACAATAATTTATGATCTTTATAAATTACTCAGACTCAAGTATTTTGCTATAGCAGCACAATCAGGCTAAGATAGGCCCTTATTATTCTCAATAACCTCCTCAATCATGTCCTCCTTTTGCCTCTACAGTAGTACTCTTGACTACTTCTCTTCTAACTACTTTCACCATTCTGTTTCTTTTATTTTTCTCCTATTCTAGTAATTTTGGATGTTTCCTCTAAGGTTTTTTAAAAATATTTTTTTTTTTAGTTGTAGATGGACACGCAGTACCTTTATTTTTATGTGGAGCTGAGGATCGAATCCAGTGCCACATACTTGCAAGGCAAGTGCTTTACCACTGAGCTGCAGCCCCAGCCCTGTTTCTTTAGGTTTCATTCCAAGAGTTTTATCCCCTCTCATTCTTCTTTTCAAGAAATCTCCTCTATTTAAAGAATTTCAATTTTACCATTATTTTGATGATCTCCCAATCTGCTATCTGCAACCCTAACTTTTCCTTTGAACTCCAGGCATGAAATTTCAAATGTCTTCTTAACCATGTCCACTTGCAGGTTCTGTAAGCAGCTTAAACCCTCAGGAAGGGTCCATAGGAAAAGAGACACAGAAAGAAAAAGGGTCTGGCATTTTTCTTTTGACGTCATCTGCAGGTCATCTTAACTAACACATAGCAACAGCCTATGGAGTACTGTGTCATCACAAATTCACCTTTGAACTGAATGAACTATGTGTCACAGAGCAAGATGCTCTGGCATACTGAGAAAAGATGGGCCTAGAAACTTGTAAATAAGTCCTGCTTTTGATTTAAATTTTGATACTAGAGGTATCATATAACCCTTGGGGCCTTGATTTTCACACCTATAAAATGAGATGTTGGACTAGGTAACCTCTAGATTTCCTTCAAGTCCTGAAATTCCATGGGTTGGCTAAAACTGAACTGATTTCCTCTTAATCTGTTTTTGTTTCCTACTGTAATTATCGACACACTCTACTACCAAGAAAGCTTAACCTTTTAATTCCTCAAGCCCCACATTCAGTTGTCCACTGAAACCTGCCAATTAAGCTTCTGAAATGTCTGTCCATGTGATCACCATTCCTATTACTTAATTTACTTCTTTAAATCAAGTTCTCATGATCTTTTGATGAGAACATTAGAGTAACCTTTCGAAACATCTTGTTTCCTAGATTTACTGTTACTTACTATAGAACTTCTGTAAAAACCTGGTATGTGTAACATTAAACACCATGCCACAAAAACAACTTGAAATGAGTACAATTAATATAAAATATATAAGTTGTGGGTAAAAAACATAAAATTTACCACCATAACTATTTTTAAATGTACAGTGCAGTATATTTTTAATTGTTGTAATACAGATATCCAGGAATATATTTTAAATGGACAAAGACAGAACTTAAAATGGGAATGCATATAGTTCTTTACATGGTAGGCACTGACTGAATTAACAGTGGCTAAAACACCACCATATCATATACTTTTTTGCTCCTGTGGGAAAATTAAAAGTGAAAGCTTTTTTAAAAACAATAAAAATCCTTTTAAAACTTGTAAGGAAAAACAGAATTTCTGGTTAATTTCTCTCTTTGCTTTAATGTTTTATAACTAGTATTGACAGCAGAGTTTGCGAACTGGGGTTTAGCTCATACACTGTTTTTTTTTTTTAAAAAAAAAAACAGAATTAGTTACAAATACATAAAAACTAGATGATTCACATTAAAATCCAGATTAATAGATTCTGTGAAAAAAGCATGAGAAAATCCAGCAACATAAAGTTGGCCTTCTGACTCAGTAACAATGAGCTCTACAACAGTATCCTGTAGTAGACCACTTCAGACACAGTACCTGTTCTCAAGTTTGTTACACTTCCTACCACTCTCTGTAATGTTGTAAATGCCTTCTTTTCTTACTTCCACTGCTTGCCTGGCCTCTTTGAATATTTGAGTTTGTACCTCTTGCAATAAATATTAATTTTAAAAAACTGGTCTTAGCATTATGCTGGGTGCCTCATAAATTAAGTAATGTTTGGATACTGGGGCTGGAGTTGTAGCTCAGTGGTACAGCACTATTCTAGCATGTGTGAAGCACTGGGTTCATTCTCAGCACCACATAAATAAGAAAATAAATAAAGGTATTGTGTCCATTTACAACTAAAAGAAATTTTAAAATGCTTGGACATGCATTCACTTTATATTTTTATATAAGTCAGGCTTTTAACTTACTTGAAAATATTTGGCAATTTTGGTAGTACACCGATATGTTCAAGTAGAAACTTTTTCCTAAGCCAATTAGAGGATGCACTGCTCCAAAAGTGAATACCCAGTGGCAATAGATAATTACCTTCATTGAGCTTTTCTTTTTCTATTATTTCTATTTTCCTGATACAGTATTTTTATTTCTGTTTGGGTTCACAGCTATGTTTGGTTGTGTTCTTATTCTGGTTCTACACTGTTAATAAATTATTCCCACAATGGTGGCTTATTCCTTGCTGGGTGTGACATGACAGAATCTGATATGTTAGTCTTATGGTTTATAAAGGAGTATGTCTTGCTTCTCCTGGAAAAAAGAAAAGCTCTTTGAAATCTAGATTGATATGTACATCCTGTTGTAGACCTGAAATTATTCTGTGACTATATTTGAGAAGGTCTTCACCCCTCCTCGTCAGTCTGAAACATTTTCCTACTTCTAGAAAGGATATTAACAAATAAAGGGTCTCTGTTTTTATTGGTTTATAGACACCAACAGGATTTACAAAAATCTGATATAAAGGAATATAATCCTCAGGACATAAAAACTGAATTTTGAATACTTTAAATGTGGTGAGCTTTTTGTTGTTGTTGGTTGGATTTCTTTGCTCATTGTAGAGATGCTCAAGAGGTATCAGAAACTAAGGCTATGTCCCTTAGAGTTCACAAATCTCCAATCTAAGGACTGAGGCCTGGAGGGAGTCAGCCTCATTTTCCTTAGAAAACTTATTCTCAGTTTCAACCCTGGATTTTCAACCCTGGATTTTCTCTGTCGTGTTACTGGGACTCATTAGAAATGTCAATTCTCGGTCTAGCTCAAGATATATTAGCTCAGACACTGTGGAGGTTAGACCCCAAAGTCCATGTTTTAAGAAAACTTAAAGTGATTTTTAAAGAAGTATTCAAGACATTTCAACCTTTGGCTGTGGTTCCTGTGGATAGATTGCCTATATTTCTTGTGATTAACACGAGACTCCTTTAATTCTGCAGGATTTTTGTACTGAGACTGAAATGCATCAGTACAAGCTTGTTTTCCTAACACTTTAAGAAAATATACAAAATATCAAATTTTCTTTTTCTTTTTTTAATTAAAGAAATACTGTATTATTCTAAATATAAAAGCCTTTTAGGAAAAATACCCTCAGGGCTAGGGATGTAGCTCAGTGGTAGAATACTTGCCTATAATGAGCAAGGCCCTGAGTTCAATTCCCAGTACTAAGAAAACCCTTTTAATAGAAAACTGATAGTTCATAAACGTTTTATATAAGAAAATTCAAGTAAAAGTCAATTACTGAACAAATCAGACTTCTGATAATTTTGATCTAAAAACAGCCTGTCTTCAGATTTGATCATTGTGCAGTGCAATATAAGAAAATGTTTTAGTTTTAAAATAAGATTTTTTTTTGTGATGACACTAATTATATTTGAACTTCTTAAACATCTTATACTGTCAATAGTACTTTCATATAATGCTTATGAT